GTTCAACACGGTTGGAAGAAGTGGATCGCAGCCTACAAGATCGTGATGCCCTCCTGGCCGAAGTCTCCCTACGCTTACAACAGGCTCAGGCACGTATGAAGAACGCCTACGATCAGCGCCATCGAGAAGTCACCTTCGAGCCGAGACAGTTCGTTTGGCTGAAGCTCCAACCTTATCGGCAGCTCTCCCTCAGACGCAAAGCCCCCCCTAAGCTGGCTTCCAAATTCTACGAGCCTTTCAGGGTTTTATGGCAAATCGGGAAGGTTGCATATCAGTTTGAGCTACCGGAACACAGCAGACTCCATGATACCTTCCACGTGTCCCTATTCAAGCCTTTTACAGGGACTCCTCCTGATCAAGTACCTTCCCTACCCCCCTTGAAGGACGGCAGACCCATCCTCTAGCCTCGGGCTCTTGTCCGGTCCCGCATCAACCGGGGTACCTTAGAGGTCCTTGTGGAGTGGGACGAACTACCATCAACGGAGGCCACCTGGATTCCCTGGTCTGATCTTCACGACGCCTATCCAGATCTCGAGCTTGAGGACAAGCTCGTTGCCCAGGAGGGGTGTGGTGTGATGTTATGGATGCATTCGTGGGAAAGGCTTACTGCCGCCGCCGGCAGCAGCAGTAAGGAGGGGCCCACACGACAGCTCATCAGGGGGCCCATGCTTATCTTGCCACGACAACTCTGCTCGCCAACTTGCCACCAGCTTACATTATCCCTCATCCCATCTATCCTTATCCTATCTTATGTTCTTAGTAAGAGTTTTGTTACCACTAGAAGTAGGAGTTTGTTTACCATTAGAAGTAGAAGTTTGAGTTTGATTCAGAGAGGGATTATCCTAGCCTAGCCGAATACAACAAGGAACCCCCTCTTGTAATCTCCTATTTAAGTAGTTGTGAATTGGAATAAAGCATTTAGTTTCCAGTTAAAAGAAGAGTGAGGAGAGTTCGGGTGGTCTCTTGGACAAATCACTCATTTGGTTTTCCACAATAGGGTCTGCACGCAAGGGAAGGCGCAAGGGGAAGCAAGAGATTCTCCCCATGGACTGACCCGTGACGAGATCCTATGCCCAGACCCATAACAGTGTTCCTGACCCGCAGCAATGAAACCTTGCGGTTGCTGCATATAGATAACTTCAATAAGATTTCCATTCAGGAACGCAATTTTCACATCCATTTGCCAAATCTCGTAGTCATGGTATACTGCTACAGCTAGCAGGATCCTAATGAATTTAAGCATGGTCACCGGCGAAAAGGTTTCCTCATAATCGATGCCCTCTTTCTGAGTATACCCTTTCACCACTAGACGAGCCTTGTAGGTCTCAA